AAGCTGGATGGCCAAGAGTTAGGCATGGTCCAGAAGGGATGCTTGGACTGCTGGGCTTCTCGGGTGCCCTGCCGGCTGTGCTCTTGGACTGCCGGGCCTGGCTCAACGTGGGATTTTTCCTAATTCACAGATTAGATTCGATAGGTGTCTGATAAGTACGTGTTGATTGGTTATTCGCTGTGCCAGTGAGCACGCTGTTCATTGAGAAGAGGAACGTACCCTTCACAGGCATCAGAGCCAAGATTTGAAGCTAGTTCTCTCCTGAATGGATCAGCCCACACTGTCCCTGGCAAGTACAGGAAGTCCCGTGCTTCCTTTCGATGACACTGCAGGAGAGAAGCATTTCCATCTGTTAGAGCCGATGTCCTCATGGACACCCGGTGAGGAAGGGGATGACAGTGCAGTTGTCCCCATTTTATAGACAGGGAGACTGAGATCCAGTGAGAGAATACCAATAGCTAGGATTTTCTACTTCTGGAAGCTTTGCCAAGTGCTTTATATATGTTGTCTCATGTGAGCTCCACCCCACCAAGGCAGGCTATAATCATCAGTTAAGTGCTTGGTAGGTGCCCAACATAGTGCTGGGGATGCAGATGCAAACAGAGAGAATGCCCTGTCACTGGAGAAAAGTTATCTAAGTGTGGGCTATCTACCTGCCCCCCGCCCCCTGGCTCTCTAAGCAAGTCGTCAACGCTGTTGAACTAAGTCCTCTCCTGCAGGGCTGTCCCATGACCCTGGCCATCGAGGGATTGCCCACCTCACCCACTTGTCTCTTTAGATTACAGTGATCAGCCTCCCATAAGGAAGAGATGGATGGTTCAAGGTGAGTCAGAAGTTGTTACATAGTACTGGTATGGTAACCATCCTCACCACCATCCTCCTCTGATGCCTCCTGCAGCAATGACCCTGCTCTCTCCAAGGCTATGCCATCACATCCCACAAAGCTGGGAACGTTTTGAGTACTTGGGAATGGATCGTGGGCCTGCTGCCTGAGGACAAGCCTGGCTAAGTGCAGTGATGCTCATGACCAGGGGGTGAATCTTTTGCTACTCTGAGTGTCTGTTAAGCCACAGAGAAGGCCTCAGTCTGTATCCATGGAGGGACTACTAGTGACTTCACAAATCCTTGATATACTGAAATAAGGTATCAGTGAATTTATGTTTGAAGCCATTTTGGAATTTTGCTCATGCATGTTGGGAAAAAAATAGTCAGAGTTCTGTTACATTTACAAAGTCAAGAGAATCTCACTGGGGAACCACACTGTCCCTACACAAACAACCCAAGATAGGGAGGAGGTAAGGAGAGGAACCGTGGAGGCTGCAGGGATATGGGTTCTAATCCTGACTTCAACACTTCCAGATTGTGTGACCTTGGACAAGTGACTTCCCCTCTCTGTGGGTCATTTTTCTCTTCTGTAAAAGGAGGATGATAATACATATAGCATCTGTTTGACAGAGCTGTTATGAAGATTAAAGGAGATAATGGAGTGAATGTGTTTTATAGACCTTAAAGCTCTTCAGAGTTGTCAGCCATCGTAGCCACTGGCCCAGACTCCAGCTAGAATCTGGCCCAAAGCCAAGAAGGTTGGATGAAGATGAACACATCTACAGAGATGGCCCTGGGGCCTTGGTGAACTCTAATATCAAAAAGCAGTGGACTGTCAGTCAGGAGACTTGGGCTTCAGCCCGACTGTCACACGGTCTCACTTCAGTTGATGATTGTCACTCTGGGCCTCAGGCTCCATGCTGCAAAAAGGGCAGTCGGCCTCTTCAGCCCCTTCCACCTCTACAAGATTGTGCTCTTTCATTTCAAGCCCATGGCATCCCCTGCACAAAAACCTTCAGTGGCTTTGTATTGCCTGTTGATGAAAGCCTGAACTCCTCCACCTGTCCTTCCATGACCACCTACCTCTGCCACCTGCCTTTCTTTCTAGCCTTCTCTCACACTCTTCCTCTTCATGTTTCCTTCATCTCAAGCACCCTGGGAGACTAGCTTTTCTCCCGACGTGCCCTCCCCCTGATCTGCCTTGGTCTGTGCTATCCCTTGTACCTTTGATGCTTTTTTCTGTCATCTTTGCCTGCTGAAATCTTACCCAACCTTCAAGGTCCAGCTCAAGTCCGAGGATTAGAATACTGAAGAACAAAATGTGAGAACAGAAAGGGGCCTCTGATTCCACCTCATTTGGCCTCATCCTTTTACAGTTGAGGACACTCGGGGCCCAGACAAGCTGAATGTCTTGTCTGAGGCCTCACAGATTAGTAACAGAGGAATCCAGATTTCCTGCTTTAGCCACTTCCCCATCACACGATTCTCTGGAGCCAGTTGGGTGTGGTCTACCTCAAAGCCATTCTGCACGTGCTTCTAGACATCTCTTCGTAAGACATTGCTCATGTCATGTCCCTCCCCTTTCAGGAACCCATGATACTTCTCCATTTGATGGCCACTCTAGTTTAGACTCTTTCCCCTGACTTTTGGGACCCCTAAGACAGACCTCATCTTATTTATCTGGTAATATTTTCAGCTACTCTATAAAATCATAATATCTTGGGGTTTTAAAGCTGGAAGGGATCTTGGAATCATCTATTCTGTAGCCCTCCAAGTTTTACTGAGGCCCAGAGAAGTTAGGTGACCTGCCCAACCTCACACATAGAGTAGAGCCTGCACTCAAATGCAGGCACTTCCTTACTGCAAATCCAATCTGTTTTCCAGTTTAGGCTGACCTTGTGCATACTGTGCATTTATTCCCCCCTTGGGGCCTTTGCTCAAGTCGATTCCCCTTGCCTGGAGTGTCTTCTTTGATCATCTTCTCCTCGTGCTATCCTACCCTTTCCAAGGCCCTTTTCTTAAGGGTCCCCTCTTCATGAAACTTCCTTTAAGTCCCGCAACCATGATCTCAGAATATCATTGTCAAACGGAATCTCTTTAGAGGCCAAGGCTGTTTGATTTGTGTCTTGGCACTCTCAGCACCCAGCGTAGAGCCTGGCAGAGAAGAGGTGTTTAGTAAACACCCATTGAATCTGAGCTGTGAAATCGAAGATCCCAGTGGCTATTGAGTTCAATGCATGGCTCGACAGAGCTCTCCTTTGCATGATGGCTATTCAACCAGGGTCCCGTGCCTCTGCCTCTGCTTCTAGGTGAGTGAAACTGCAGAGCGTGCTCTTACTCCCTCACTTCATTCTCCCACGTATCAAACAGAGCCCAGGAAGAGAGAGACCTTTCCTTCTGCAGGCCATGTGGCCAGGGCTCTCTCATTTGGATTACAAGTCCCTGTCTCCAGTTCCACAAGCTTTTAGCACTTGCTGTATAAGGAAGGCATTCAGCTCTGGGTAGTGGGGGAACACCCAAAACAGACAACCCCCAAACCCAGAGTCTGCACTCTGGGAGCTTAGAGACTAGTACTCCAGAGAAGTCAAAGAGGCAGAGGGATAAAGGGCTTCCCCCTTATCGAAGGTCTCCAAGCAAAGGCTGGTGACCAGTGAGTTACCAGGGATGCCTGGGGATTTCTGTTCAGGTCAAGGTTGGACCAGGCGCCTACCTCACCTCCCTCTGATTCTACAGTTCAGGGATTTTGTTTTTTTCCCACTTGAAGTGGGCTGGATTCTGAAGTTCTGTTTTAAACCACTAGGGCCATTTTTTTAGATGGCCTGAAACATGTACTTCATGTTTCAACTCAAGAAGCCTTTTCCTTGGTGGCCCAAGACTTTGCTATTTGCTCTTAGAGTTCATCAAGCCCCTTATTCAGTCAGTCATAGAACTTTAGAGCTGGAAGGGAACCTTTGAGATGGTCTTGTCCAAGCCAGTTGGAAATGTAATAATAGGGACAGAGCCCTTGTTTTCAGCTCAGAAGACCTGGATTTGAGCCTTTGACCTGCCTGATTCTACGAGGGGGATCCTGAACAGATCTCCTTTTACTGGAGTAACCTCCAAGATGACTGAGAATTCCCACCATTCTTTGAGTCTTGATTTTTCAGATGAAGGTCTCTTAATAAGGAAACCTTCCCTGCTCTCTTCCATCAGATGGGATGTCTCCTGTATCTGAACTCTTGTTTTACTTCAGCAAATACTTATTCAGTGACGCGTGTCTCTCTAGTGCACTTGTGATGTTTTGACTTTGTTATTTCTGTCCATGTCATTCCCTAGTTAGATCGTGTGTTCCTTAAAACAGGTACAGGGTCTTAATCACATCATGCTTTTGGGAATGCTTAGGGTAGCATCTTATATCTAGTAGCCACACAGCAAATGTTTGCTGGGCAGACAGTTGGATGGAGCACTGAACAGATGGGATGAATGATATGATCATTTTAAGTGCCACAGGCATTTAGGCAATGAAAAAGTTATTTTCCTGGTATATGGACCTGCTAAGGGGGGCTTTTCCATCCACTAGGGGAAACAGAGATCAGAAACATGCTGTTTAGCTGTCTGATCTGTAGTGTTAGGGTTTGCTGCTGGGCCTCAGTGTGACTTTGCTGGGTCAGTGACATTAGTAAGGCATTGACTGCAAACATTTCATTATAGGCAGAGATCACTGGGCATTCATTAGCTCTGGCTTATGGGTGGCAGGGCAGGAAGGGGAGCACATGAATATATTTGAGGTAGGTGAAAATTTTACAAGAAAAATTTTAACAGAAAAAAAAGAAAAAGATGAGCTCAGCCCATGAGCAAAACTCCACATACATACTCTCTCCTCTCTTTCATTTCTCTCTTCCTCCCCTCCCTCCCTCTTCTTTCTTTCTTTTTTCTTTTCCTCTCTCTCTCTCTCTCTCTCTCTCTCTCTCTCTCTCTCTCTCTCTCTCCCTCCCCCTCCTTTTCCCTCTCCTCTCTCTCTCTCTCCCTCCCCCTCCTTCTCCCTCTCCCTTTTCCTTCCCTCTCTTCTCTCCCTCTCTCTCTCTCTCTCTCTCTCTCTCTCTCTCTCTCTCTCTCTCTCTCTCTCTCACACACACACACACACACACGTGGAGAAAAGTGGCAGCACAACAAAGGAAGTGGAAGAAAAGTGTTACCCATGAGGAGGCGCCGTTTCACCCGCTTGTCCACATCAGCTACTGACGTGGTATTGAACTCAGTACTCTCAATTGCAGCCTCATCCTTCTCTAAAACACAAGTAAGGGACAAATACGGAGCAGTTGGTTAATGAGAAGCCCAGTTTTCCACTGCCTAAGACAGTTTCTTGGCCTTGGCCAGCCAAAACCAAGAACTCAGTCATGAGAGCACTGAACCCCTGCAAGGGGACAAATCCCCTTTGAGATTGTTTTAAAGGCTGAAGGGAAGCGGAAGTGAAGGGGAGAAAGAGAGGATGAGAAACAAAGGCATGAACTGAGGGACAGGCACACAGAAAACGAGCCTGGGTGGGATAGGGCCCAAGTGCTCCAGAGAGATATTAATGCAACAGGAATTCAAAAGCAGGCCTTTGGAGGAAACCAGTGGGGACAGAAAAGAAGGCTTCCCCCTGGCAAGGGCCGAGGAGAGACAGAGCAGAGGATCCGGTGATGGCAGGGCATGGGTCTGGCACACCGTGACATAAGATTGTGTCAAACACGCATGCAGATTAAACAAACAAAACAGACAGACAAACAAAAACCAGTTGTCTCTCTCTTGCTCTCGCTCTCTGTCTCTCTCACACACACGCTCACACATGCACACCCAACCAAAACCGATACCAGTCGGGGCAGTGCTGGTTGCCTGCTTGTCTCTAGGACACTATGAGCTACACATTCAGGGGAGACGAGGGAAGACTTGTGGTTCGGTGATTCTGGGAGCATGCAGCATGCAGAGCGAGAAGGTCATTCCTGGTGGGCAGGGCTTTCGGGCAGGATGGAGAAGCTTCCCAGAGGATCATGGGAAAGGCTAGTTGGGCTGCCTTCCTATGCTAGGTTAGAAATATATGGAAACAGTCATTCCCAGGGTAGGAAAGAAGGGAAAAAAGGAAGACCAGTAAGCAAAAGAAGTGGAAAGGCTTCTCATCTGGGCAAACCCAGAGGGAAGCGGCAGCTGGGTAAATAAAATGATTTGAGGGAGGGGCAAGGAAGGGGAGGCAAGGAAAGTTACTTTAAAAACCAAACCAAATGGGGACTTTCACATGCAGCAAACATTTAAAAAAAAAAAGAAGAAGAAAAGAAAAAAGGAGAAAGAAAAGGGGGGGGGCAGGATAAGTCAGCTGAACAAAGACAAAATGTGTTAGACAAAGAGCCAGAGTCCTCCTCTGGCATTGCAGATGTTTGCGTTCCCGCAGTGATGCCCAGCATCCACAGCGCTGCAGACAGCAAACAGTGAGGCGTGGAGACGGAGAGAGGAGGCTGAGGTGGGGGGCAGATGGAGGTCGGTGGCAACACGACACTGCACTGGGTCAGTTGTAATGAGAGGGTCGGCAACAGGTTCTAGATGGGATCAGGCTGCAATAGAGGCTTACATTTGTTTGTTTTGTTTTGTTTTGTTTTGGCCCTTGGAAATAATTAATAATGCACGTCAGTTCTCAGACAAGACAGGCAATCAGGAACCATCACCAGAAAGCAGGGATAATGGAGTAGAAGTATTCTCTAAGAAGACACTACACAGAAGGGCAGGGTGAGGGTGGGTCTTAGGGGTGGGAGTGGGGACAGCGGTGCGGGGCAGGGAGCAGCATGAGCAGCACCGTGGGCTTTCCATCACTGGACTGAAGGTTATAGCGTGGCATCAGCCTCTTCCCTTTCCGTGGCACCCATGTGCCGACAGGAGGGCTGGCCTAGGTTTGCCCTGTCTCCCACAAGAGGGAACACAGGCCTTTGAGCTACCCCCAAACCTTCCTGTCAGGCATGCTTTGGGATCCCCTGTTGCAGCCCTTTTTCAGTGACTAAAGAGCACCCCCAGTAGACATTGCAGAGGCCCAGATAAGAACTGGTACCTCTTTTCCCCATCAAACCGAACTTAGTTTTGGTTCTCTAATGTTAAGGAGGAAGAGAGAGAGGAAGTTTTGGAAGTGTAATTGAACTTTGAAAATCCTGTTTTTCATATTTAAGAATTCCATTATTTTCAAATAAAAGAGGGTTAGTCATATTATGAAACCAGTAAGAATATTCAGGCTGTGGCTCAGGAATGTGCATCAGGAGGAAAGAAATTACAGACTGTAAAAATAAAAAATAAAAAGCAATTTTGTGCGAGAAATTCAGCATTGTGCAAATGAAACCTCTTTTGTAGAAGCAAATTCACGTGATTGAAAATCCATAGAGGGAGGGGAGGGGAAGGGTAGCATCACATTCTCTTTATTGGCTGGGAAATGAGAAACAATATTTGTGCTCCCTCTTCCTCCCTCTCCCAGCCAAACACCTGTCTGACATCATCAGTAGGCCTTCTCCCATTTCTTTGATAAAGTTTACCTTTTGACTGATACCTAGGAAAACACCGCAGGCATTAGTATGGCCAATTTAAAAATAGACTAGTTCCATTTTGTCTTCTCCAATGGACTAGTTGCCAAAAGGGTCCTTTCCCAAATTTCCCAAGATGAATGAAGAACACAAAGCCAGTTATAAGTGACATCTTTAGATACGTCATACGAACCACTTCCACCATGACTTGAATACCATTTTGGACTATGATCAATCTCTAGAACATTCATTCTTGGGCTCTGAGCTATTTAAAATATTGTAGCAACATGTAACATGCAACAAACCAGCAGATCCTAAGAATGGATCCAGCTACACACTTACGAAATTAAAGTGCCCAATGAACTCTTTGCTTCGAGCTCTCAAGTGACATTAATAAAAGCGGTATGGAATGGTTCCCACCCTCAGCAATGCAGGTGTGTGCCACCAAACGTAATAGCCAAGTGCTTATCTAGCTATTTCCCTTTGAAAATTTGGTATCAACTAATCGCTGCTGGCACATTGCACTCGATTGAATCCCCTCCTTATGCCCAGTGATTCGGATCTCACTAGGGTGGAAAGGGCTTACACTCTTCTCTTAGTGGCAGTGTAACAACATTGGCTTCAAGTGGTGTTCTACTTACCAATGCATGTCCGGCCATCGGAGTGGAGGGCATACTTCTGATGACAGCCACATACAGGCCCCGTATCAGTGTCATCACAGGTGTGCTGGCAGCCTCCGTTTCCATAGTTACAGGTTACTAGTTATACCCAAAATGTACGTGTGTATATAAACAGAATGATAACAAAAACGATTAGTTTGTGTTTGTGTTTGTCTTGTGTTGTTATTATTATTATTACTATTATTATTATTTTATAGTCTTTCAAAGCAAAAGAGAATTAACATTGTGAAGATTCATTCTTGGTTAGATTAATATCACCATCTTTTTCATTTCTCTGACCTCTTGTCAGCTGTATATTTTTAAAGAAAATCTCTGAGGCTCTTCTTTCATTAAGAAATTGGAATGGGACATGAATAAATAACTTTCTCTTCCCCACACTTCCTAAAACCTTTGAAAATACTGCCCCCTCTTTAGGGGGAAAAACAACCCGTGCCATCTCTAGAACATGTTGGAGTGGAAGGAAGGAATGGCCTGCCAGTGAGACTTAGATTTCCCAGTTCACACTGAGAATTCTTTTCTTTCCTGATGACCTCTTTCTACGTTTGAACAAGAACAGATCTAAGTCATAACAACCCAAATGTTAGTTCTGAAATCTAGTGCGGCTGAAGGCGATTCCACCTAGAGCTCTGGAATGTTCTTATAATGTGTCGTGCTTAAGACACACACCATATGACACTGTTATGCATGGATTGAAATATTCCAAGAAATAGATAGTAAAAGTCTATCAGTTTGGACTAGCTGTGAGTGGAGGGCACAGGCAGTGTGATCTGGCGAAAAGTCTACCTTTTGCTTTGTTCTTTAAAAAAATGCCTTTATATATACATGTATATGTAGGCATATGTATATATATACATAGTTCCAAAGAAAGAGACAAAAGTAAGCATCTATAGCAAATAGAACTGGGATAAGAGAGTATTTCTTAACAGTGTTCCTTAAGGGATCAACTTTGATAGACAGATAACAATTATTTGTAATTAGCATATTGCTCATTTGTTTGAGGCTGATGCTTCTAGAGTGGCATTCAAAATAATTTGTCTTCTTAAGTGACTTCAATCTTCCTTCTTCCCTCCTCCACTTCCTACAGACATCTTGCCCCTTAGCCTTGATTTGCTTGGCCAACCCTTTCCTTATGGATAGTAGAAAGGTAACCCTAGTCCCTATCCGAATGACCATCATTCCAGATCATTGGCATTTGAATTGACTAAGTTTTATCTGATAAATCCATTAACTTTTTAACTTCTCAGAAGTTTGTTATGTTATCTATTAGAGAAGGATAATTTAGGGAATCTTAGATCAGGATTTGGGTGGGAATTATTTCCACTGACTGAAAAAAAATGAATTAAATTGTACATTTCATCAGGAAAAAAGAAGTCGTGAGTGTCTGAGTCTATCATATTGCTCAAGGTCAAGTTTCATGAAGTAGGAAAAGAATGGCTCAGAAAAGAGGAATTACTTCTCCTTTACTCTTCCATGCTTCCCTGAGGTGCCCACAGCACACCAGTTGTGCCATGACTATGACTTGTCATGGTCTCCAGCTCCTTTATGGAGCAGACCAGTTCCTGACTTTACCTGCCCTCTAGGTTGGCCGAAATCATGGGGTGGGCTTCTTCAGTCTACAGAACCAATTTCCAAGGCCAAACTCTTTGAAAGGTAAATAAGAAACCAACCCAATGGCTGGAGAGTTATTGTTTGAATAACAAGGGCTTCAGTCTTTCCCTTCACTATCTGTCTGTGCACCTGATGGGTGGAGCTGATTGGTCTGGGGTCCCAAACACAGTTGCATTCTTAACCAGGAAGTAGCCTGGTAACCCTGGGGGCTTCAGAAATCCTCGGGGAAGGGAGCAGGCCCTGGGAAAGGGACATCATTGTTGGCTTGCCACCAGGTGTTTTCTAGGCCCAGGAAAAATCCAAGTACCTTCCACATAATTTAGGACTTTGAGCAGAAATGGCGAGCAAGGCTCTGAAATGCCACCAATGGGGCTTTCAGTGCCTCTTCTCTTTCCCACGTGTGTAAGGGAATGCAGATTTGCAGAAAGAACTAGCTTAACCAAGGACTGTTGACTCATTTTGCAGCAGTTTCACCTCCCAATGTCCCCTCTCCCCTCCCTCCCTCCCTCCTGTAGAATCTAAGCTTCATATTAAATGCCTGCTATGTGCTTGCTGCCCAGGACTATGCCTGGTGTTTATCTTGTGCTGACTTCCCTGTGTACACATTGTCTCTCTCAGTAGAATGCAAGCTCTTTTCTTTTTGTCTTTCTGTGTCCAGTGCCTGGCACAATGCCTGCCACATGGTAGGCATTTACTATGTGCTTGTTGAATAGCACTACATTAATTAGGTGATTCGACACCCTGCCCAGGCCCCCCACAGGGTCTCTGCCCTTCCTACAGGCGTGAGGAACTTTTCTACCACGTTGTTTTGCTATGTGGGGAGCTCTGGTTTGTACTACAAATGCTACATGTGGTCTTACTGAACTCCCTTGAAATTAGAGCTGTTATAATTCAGAGAGTACCTTACACAGTGTCCTCCTTAGCATCCCTAAAGGGGCCCTAAAGGGTTACCAATTACAGGTCAGAGTACTCGATCTTTGGAGACAAACAGGTCGTAGCCATTGGGGGGAAAACCTCTCATAAGGCATCAACCTTTCTCAATTTCTTAGGCAGCCTGAAAGTAACATATAAATGTCAGGACAGCCTGCACTTCTGGGCTGAGGCCTCTTTGTGATATAGCCGTGCCATCCTGAAGAGCCTGGTTACTTGGGTGGCTTCCTTTTCCGTCTGTTTTTGTGTTCCCCTTTATTGTGTGTGTCTCTGGGGAGAGTCTTATGCAGCCACTTGGCTATGCTGGGTACGGGGCCAGCTTCTAGATAGAGAGAAAACCAAAGGGGCAGGCAATGTTGCTTCTCTGTTCCAAGGTCAATGGTAGCTTCATCCCCCATACCACCTTTTAAACCCTTTCCTCTTTTGCCCTGCCCTCTTTTTTTCAGGTTGTCAGAAACCCTTGTAGTTAATAGCTTTAGGTTCCTGACAGTTTAGTTAAGTGTGAGGGCCAGCAGATCACAGGAGGTGTGCGCTGAGACCGCATAGACACTGACCTGCACCTGTCAACTGCCTTCACTAGTGGCTTCATTACTGATGAGACCTCCATAGCAATGGCATAGCTCCAGAAGCCGCTGCTTCTCCAAATTTGGCCCAGTACTCTACCAGTAAAGGGCCAATTCAGACTCAGGATGCTTAAGGTGAGGAGGAGGAGGGGGAAACAATACCTTTGTTTGCACTGAAATTTAACTGATGTGCATTGTAAATAATTGAGAAAACATACCCCTAGATTGTCATAGCTCCAGGCTAATGGAGACCAAGAAGAGGCTATAAATGTGAAGTCTTCTCTTCTGGACCCAACTTTGGGCGTGGAATAACAAAGAGGTCTCTAATGATCTCAAGAGACCATGCCCCTATTTTCATAACTCATTTTAGTTCATTATAACTGGGCAAAAATGAGTGCACGTGATTCAGCCTTTTTAATGTGGGGGAAGATATGATCACTGGACTTCTAGAAAGGTTGAGAAACACTCTTTTTGGAATGTGCCTGAAAAATGCAGGCATCAACTCTTCCTAGGAAACTATGCATATATTCTTTGCTTCTCCGCAGGGTTCCTCAGGGCCAAATGGCATGTTCCAGATGAATAAAAGCCTCATTTAAAGAATGTCCAGAGCCAAAATGACTTGCATTGAGGCTTAAGCTTTGCTACTTCTGTTCCATAGAGTCCCTGTTCAGTGATTTTCTCAGACATTTTGTTTCTCATTGCTTTCAAACAGCAAAGAGAAGTTAAATGGTGCCATGTTTCTTGGGAGAGAATCATCTACAGCTGGAAGGCTGTCCAGTAAATCGAATGGTGGCCAGAGGAGTAAGTATCCACTTTGCAAACTGCATTTTCAAAGGTGGACGATGAATTGAATAGGGATGAATAATTTACAACTCCTTATAGACACGTGACAGGGTTTACCTATTGAATTTGGGTTAAATTATAGGTATGTGTCAAGGAAGACAGTGCAGCTGAGCTATGGGGGATGGGAAGGTAATGGTTCTGGCCAAGATTTCTCTCTGCCCTGCAGAGGTTACGTGCAGCTAGCACACACAGACAAGAAGCTGGGCTTTTCCTTCTGATATTGGCCAGTCAGCCAGCATCACCGTTTCAGTAGAGAAAATTGTATTTTTGGAGGAGAGAGAGAGGAGTTGAGTCACTGCAGAACATGCTAGCTGCAGGGCCCGATGTTCCTAAGTGTCTGTGGGTATGTCTCCTTGTACTGTGAGCATTCCTTCGGGGAACCTTTTGTGCTGGGCTGTGCTGCCAAATTCCTCAAGGTCTGGGACCAGGATGGCAACAAAAGGATTTCTCAGTGGTAAGTCTGTGTCACAAGATTAATGACAGACCTTCTGAACCATCATTTCCTTTTCCTTACAGTTTATCTGTGGCAGAGGTGGGGGGGGCGAGGGACCTTGGCAATATGGCCTTAAAGACACATGAGAAGGGTAACCCATCTGATGAAGAGGAGCTGACCTCAAGCCAGCATATCCCATTAGCCAAGAAGAGGCCACAAGGGAATGGAACTGGAAGGTAGTCAATCCTTCCTGATAATTTTTTGCCAGATCTTGTTTGCAGAGAAAGTTCTTTGGCAGATGGGCCTGAACAAGAAACATCCTTATTGCTGTATATTCCTTAGCTTGGCCATCTCCCATGAGGTACTATTCTAGGGGCCCTGGGATCTAGAAATCTATCCTAGGGAAACCCATGTGCTGATGGGTTATTCCAGGCTGGAAGGACTTTGAAATCTGTCTAGCAGTGATGGACTGCGGGCCTGCCCCACTAGGCCAAGTGTAGCTAAGGTCAGAGAGGCAGAGCCTCACTAGACTGGACTCAGAATGGTCACAGCTCTCAAAGGCCATCTACAGACAGTGCATGGGGATTAATGGTGATCTAAGGCCGTGAGGGCAGGACCTACACTGAGGAAATCCTGGGTCCTAGAACGCCAAAGTCCTGGCACTTCATGCCCTAAGATAAGAAGCTACATCTAGCAGCCTCTCCAGCCAGACATCTGGAGGTACAGTTTGGGACATTTCAGGTGCACACAGAGGCCAGTTGAATGGGTATCCTCAGGCTTGTCTTTCCCCTTGCTCTCAAATCCAAACAGGGACAGTGGAAGCCCATGTTGAAAGGTGAGATAACTTCAGTGGGGTGAGCTCCATGCAGTGCTTGGCCTATTCATTTTACTCGAGCACTTCCTGGTCCGTGCTCCAATATTGTTAATTCCCAAGGACCAATAGAAGCTCTAGAGATGCAAATGACAAATGCCCTTTGCTTTTCATGTCTTCCTATTGACATGTATGTCCCACACCCTTTTCTTTCAGCCTGGCTCTATGTACAGAGATATCAGCTCATCTAGATTCCAGGTTTCATAGTCTTCTGTGGGAGTGCCATTTATAGGGGAAAACATTAGCCCGGGGTCATTTCCTACTTTGGGAGGACTTGGGTGTAGATTCTATGTCTAGAAAAGAGACACTCTGGTGTACTGCATTCCTGCTCCCAGGGACAGATTTGGGTTGTTTCTAGGGAAAAGGAAATGGGGAAGCAGCCCCTCAAAACAGCAGGAACCAAAGACTTTATGGACTGAACCTTGGAACTTATGCCTCCACCATTTGTTATCAGGCTCTGAGTCACCCCTCCCCCAAGGCTAGCTGATGATCTTGGTCTCTGGAAAACAATGGCAGCATGAAGAGAGCAACACAGAAATACTTTTCTTTGGCAAAGCAGACAGGTTGGGGGGCATTTGACACATCAGGCTCCATCTACCTACGTGTGCAGTCCCTCTGGTTTTTGGCAAGTTCAAAGCCAGGCCTACATTCACAGGCAACCCCACCTTTGGGCGTCTCTCGGCAGATATGTGCGCACCCATGATCTTTGTTCATACAGTTCATACCCTCTGAAAAGAGAGAGAGAGGAAGAGAGAGAGAGAGGGAGGGGGGAGGAGAGAAAAACAAAATTGGGCTGAAAAGATGTTGCCAATTAAATTTAATCAATGACATGGCTTTATTATTCCACCATCTGCAGAAGTCCTCCCCCTTGCCCCCTACCCTCCTGCCCTCCAGCACTGATGGTGTCTCTGTTAATGGGTAAATTGTCATCACAACTGTAACTTATAGTCAATCTGGCTTCTCTGTCAATAATACTGTGGCACCCACTGAGATCCATTGTCATGTCTTTTTGGCCCTGTGCATCATGTCCACGGGCCTCATTTTGGCGAATTGTGTTTATCTCCGTGATTTAAACTTTTGGGGACAGAATGTAAGACCAGATGAGGACAGCATAGGAAGCCTCAAAAGGGGTCAGGAGACATTAGATTTTAGCCCGTTGGCCATGCACATTTAAGTCATTGAAATGGGTCTCCTGTCTGCACACATCAAGGCTAATACTATACTAGAAAGAAGAGGGTGCATAGTCTTGGCACAGTGACCAGCTTGCAGGGTGCCACGCCCATCTGTAGCGCTGGGCCCCAAGTGGCTTCCTGGGTCAAGTGTCTTCTAAGTTCTCTGCTGTTCAGCACCAAGGGCAGCTGCTGCTCCGGCTCCAGAGGGGTGGGGCTGCACTGCTTGTGTCAAAGGGATTTTCCAGCTCTCCTGTGTTGCCTGGTCCTGGAGACCTCAAGCCCTTATTCCAGCCTCAGCTTCTGCTGTGTGCCCAGTTCTTGTTCCACCTGATTTAGTTGGGTCTCGCCTTTCTGATAGGTGTGCCTGCTTCTGGCTAACAGAACTCATGGGAAGATGTGGTGCAGAGCCCTGACCCTCATTGTCAGGAAGAGCACACTCTCAAGTCATGCTTGTCACCAGCCTGCTGTGTGACGCCACCCTCTCGAGAGCTCAAGTTTTCTTATCTTTAAAACAAGAAGTTTGGACTAGATATCTTTAAAGCTCCTTAGAGCTGTGCCATCCTATGCTTTTATGTGCTCGGCTCCTTTCCTGTACCCTCCTACTCCTTTTCTTTCTTGTTCTATTGGCGTGGCTGCCTCTTCCTCCTCCTCCTCAGTCTTGTTAATATGCTGCGTTAACTGTGAGCGCTCTCCTGGGTTCTAGCAGCCTTGCTCCACTATGCTGCCCACACCTTGATAGTGGCTCCGCCTTTCTTGTTGGCTATCCAGTTCTCCACATGCTTGTTCCTAATTCTGTAGCCCTTGTGCTTCAGTTTCATCCTTGAAGGAAGCCGCAAGTGGGTAGAACACAAGATTCGAAGCCAGAGGACCTGGGGTTGAGTCTATCTGAATTTACAACGTGCTCCCTGTGTGATCTTAGGCAAATCACTTAAACCCTTGGGGGCTCACTTTCCCCATCTGTAACATGACAGTATTGGGCCAGCTGATCTCAAAGGTTCCTTCCAGCCTCTATGTTCCTAAGTATTTACATTTGTTCAGAATCTGCATAGTCCTTGGAACTCAGCTAATGAATCTGGTACCTGGAAGGTAATTGTAATGGGAAGGCATTTGACTGTCCTGGGCTACAGTGGGGGGAGGGGAAGGGGAGGAGTAGGCAACTGATCTCTAAGGGATCTTGTAGCTTTATATCCTGTCCCTTAAACCAAAGTCATGGCACTGGGGGAAGAAGATCAATCGTTAACTATAACCCCAGCTGCCCAGTGGAACAATAATGCAATCGATGTTCTGTTATGTGTGTGTAGCTTGTCTGCAGCAACACTGACTTTCCTTTGTCACCCTAGAAGCTTCTGGGCTGTGGCTGTCCTGCTGTGGTGTGGTTTGGGGGGCCTGAGTGAAACTAAGTGAAGGAGGGAAATCTTGCTTTCTTTTCTTCCTTCAGGGGAAAAAGCCCTTCAGCCGTAAATGGAGCCTGGTGTGTGCGCATGTGCACGTGGTGTGCATGTGTATGTGAAGAGCACTGGCCTCTACAGTCAGAAGACCTTGATTTGAACCCTGGTTCTGTCCCCCCTGTTACCCTGGACAAGTCTCTCCCTCGCTCTGGTCCTGTCTTTTCTCCCCAGTAAAATGATAGCACTGACTTGTGTGATCACCCACTGCTTTGGATTATCTGTGTTCCAGTTCCTTTCCCCTAGCATGAATAATGAGGTATAATCCTGATCAAGACCAAGTGGCCAGGACAGTTTTCAGAGCCTGGCTGGAGTTTACATCCCAGTGGCTTATGGTTTATCTATGCCAGTAAGTTCTTCGTTTTAGGTCATGAGCTAGGAATCTGCCTCTGCTGGGAAGAGGCCTCCCATTGCCCTCTTGTTCAAGCAACTAGCTTGAAATAGCTAGTCCTAACACTGTGTGGGTCTCTATTGCTGCTTGTCCCAAAGAGGAAAACCAGCATAACAAGAGTCAACAATACAGTGAGGGAGAGCTTTCTCATCAAAGCAGCCTCACCATGGAAGCCTTGTAAGGTGGGCGTGTCCAAGTGGAGGCTAAATGGACACCCATTAGAGATTCTTAGAGGAGAGTCATTCATTGAGTGGGTGGTAGAAAAAGGACCTCAAAATCCGTCCAGCTTAGCCCCTGCTTGAAAAGGAATCCACCCAACAATCTCTCCAAAAAGTGATCATGAAGCTTGAAGACAGCTGGTGAAGGGGAACTCACTACCTCCTACTTTGGGATGGCTCTAATGTACATCTAAAGGTGATGGGCATTTTCATGATCTTACCAAATAGAAGGACGTTTGCCCTTACATTGAGATTAAATCTGCTCCTGCAAGTTCTACCTCCCCTCTCCAATTCTGTCTTTTGGGAATAGGCAGAATGGGTCTAATCCCTCATTCATATGGCCAGCTCTCAAATGCTTGAGAAAACAGTAGCCATCATGTTTCCCTTAAGCCCTCTGGTCCTGAGGCCAAACATCCCTAATTCCTTCAAGTGACTGGTCCCCCTCATCATATTTCTCTGTTTCTGTCAAGGGCACCATCATTCTTCCAGGTTCTTATGACTTTAGCATTCTTCTTGGCTTCTGACTCTCCCTCAGCCCACAAATCCAATCACTTGCCAAGTTTCCAGCTCCACAACATTTCTCACCACCGTCCCCTTCTCACTACTCACCCAACAACCACCTTGCCTCCTCCTCACCTCTTGCCTACACTGCTGCACCAGCCTCTTAGTTTATCTCTCCCCGTTCCAGTCTCTCTTCCATGCAGCTGACAAAATGGTGTCCTTGAAGCACAGATCTGACCATCTCATTCCTCTACTCATGAATGCCAGCAGCTCATTATTGCTTCTGGAACAGAATCTAAACTCTGGCTTTGAAAGCACTTTATAACTCAGCCTCAGCCTAATCTTTCCCACCTTATTCTACTTGACTCCCCTTCCTTCGCTCTGTGGTCCAACCAAACTGCCCTTCTGACATATGGTTCTCCATTTCCTGCATCCATCCTTTTGCACTGGCTGTCCTCATGCCTGGCCCTCATCCTCTCCTCACCTCTACCGCATAGACTTCCTCCAAGGCTCAGCCTTCCCTGGTCACCCCAGCTCCTCATAATATACTGATAGAGGTACATGTTATCTTCCTTGGCAGAATGTGAACTCCTTGAGAGGAGGGACTGCTTCCGTTTTTGTCTTCACATCATTATCACCTCACGCTGTTCCTGGCACATGCCTGTTAATTTTGTGGTGGTGTCCAGTCCTACCCCTGGGTGCTCTGAGGCAGCTCATTACTCTACTCCAAAATGAAAATAGTATTCTGGCCAGATGAGATCTGCCCAGAGTGTAGGACAATGGGAGTATCACTGCCCAAATGATGTCCTGGGCACCTCGACTCTCTTATGTAGCCTCAGATAACATTGGCTCTCTTGGCTGCCACATCACACTGTTGACCTCTGACCCACCTTTCAACTTTGAGCCTGACGGCTTCTACGACTGTTTCAGATAACCATTCCTATTTTCTGCTCCCCCAGATGTGGGCCTAGCCTCTCAGCACATGGCCCCTGCCTAGAGTAAAGAAGGTCACCGATATAAATTGCTCAGTAGTTCTAGTCGGGAACACAAATATTAGACTTTTCCAACATGACTTACTTACCTTCCTGGGTTGGCCATCGTGTATCCTTTGTACAGACTAAATAGGACTGCTTAACAGCCAAGCTTAGGCTGAAAGTGGAGCAAGAGTGCCTTGGAGTGCTTCCTCACCAATTCTGCCGGGTGTGTATTGGTCAAAGGAGCAGGCTTTTTAGGGAGACAGAGGAATGCAGGGCGAGCTAAACCAAGCAGCCCTGTAGTCAGTGAAGGGGAGATGGCACTGCTGTCAATCTGACTGCACTCAGAAAACCGCCTGTTGTATTCTTCCCAGCCCCTGAGGCACCAGAACTGGGGATGGTTCCAAAGGAACATCCCAAGGTGCATTTTTAAGAAATAAGCCTTTGGGGAATGTTATTTACCTTGAATTCTAGTGCCATATGCCACACTAGTGGAAAGCTGACGGGAAGAAACTTGACCTCCCAGACTTGCGTACTGTCCTTTGCCCTGATTTCACAACAAACTCCAGATATGCCCTTTCCATCTAGATGAGAGGGAACCTTTTGACACTGAGCACTCGAGGTCACAAGGCAAATGAGAGATCAGAAATGGAACTGGCCAGGATCTGTGACCCATGCGGGCTTTCAGTGGGGAGGAGCATGCCGTGGGGGGAGACAACCTTTAGTTCTATTTGGTTCAGTCCACTCCACTCCAGTGGGATGAAGAGCTGTAACTAGGTCAGGGAAACCAGGACTGTTTTGGTCTTTGGGCTTCTGGGATTGAACTCAGAGTAGACCAATAGCACTTTCAAGCCTTTAGTAGATTGGGCACAATAAAGCTTGACATTCAGTGATTATAATTGTTTCAGCCAGGATGCCACCAGATGGCAGTCTGGGGTGCCCTCTACCCTTCATTGGCCTCTCTGTCCATGGCAGATCCCCACTGGTGTCCCTGACATGTCTGCCCCTTAGCCCTCCTCACACAAAT